ATCAAATTTTTGTATATAAAAATTATTTGTATTTATATTTTTCTAGATTTTTAATTTATTTTGGTTAACTGTACTACAGGTAGTACAAAAGGCAAAATGCTATCCATTAATATATATTTATACTGTATATATTACTAATATACATATTACTAATATATATATTAATCTATATTATTTATTATTATTAGTCTGAAAAGTACTAGCAATGAGTCATATACGTTGTAATATTTTATTTAATGTAATAATACAAATAATAATCAATGAATACAAAATTCTTTGGTAACACCTATTCTATATAATTATACTTCTGAAGAAAATGAAGTTAAATTTGATGAAAGTAGTAATCTTGATGAAAATACAAATGATCAAATTTCTGATGTATTTACAATTGAAGAAGAAGACCAAAGTGATGAATCTATAATTGAAGAAACAAACCAATAGATTGCAATTATTAACCAATAGATTGATGCTACTCAATATAAAAATCAAGTAGATGATCCAAGGAATGAAATTTTTTTAAATAATGAATTTGACGAAGATTTTAATTTGGCTGGCAGAAATATTCATCCTGCAGATAATACTTCAGCTAAGTGGAATTTGGTTACCTTATTTGTAGATAATTTGGAATCTCCAACTTATTTGACAAATAGCTAGTACTTTGTTGCTTTAACATATCCTGTTTTATCAAGTTTATTTTTCTTTCTTATGTATGCTACTGCTGTGTATATAAATATATTAACAGTTACTACTATTTATATATCTATATATAGTAGTATATAATATACAAAGATGTTTTGCTTGAACAAATAAATAAATATATATAATAGTAAAAATAATGTTTATAAATGCAAATTTTGATAATACAATGTAAATTTATATATTTATTTGCTAGATTTTTAGTATTTTTTTTTATCAGGTTGGTAAAATAATAATTACTAATTACCATTGATTGCCAAAGATAAAACTGAAAAATTTGTTAATCATTACTAAACCTATTAACTTCAATAAATATATTAATTGAAATTTTAAAAAATCAACCAAAGCTTTTTTTGGTTTAACCTTTTTTATTTATTAAATAAACAAATATGATATTTATTTAACAGAAGTATTAAAAAGCTATTCTCAATTATTTTTTTGCATTAACTTCGTATTTGATATTATACAACTTATTATTTATCTTATAATAGTTTAGTAAGAATTCTTGTAATATATCAAAATTTTTATTTTTTATAATTCTGAAAATATTAGATAGAAACTACCAAAAGTATTGAAAATTACATCATATCAAATTAGAGGCAAATTTCAATTAATCTAATAGAACAATAAGTTATATTTTATAAAAAAAATAAAAGATATCTTCTTTTTTTCAGTTACTCTGGCTAAATTAAATGGTGCATTTGTACTAGAGTGTGCATTGATAAATAATTATTCGATCATCGATCGAAATTTTCGAGTATCGAAATAAGCTTTTATTCACTGAGTTTTTAATTCGGTCATTCATCGAATATATCGGTTAAATTTTAATTAACGTAATAGTGATAAAATTGATATTGTTTTGATACGTAGTAATAAATCTTTTAATTTAAATACAATTTTATATAAATTGATCTAATAAATATAGTGATTTGATTCTTTCAAAACAACATTAATTAAAACATAGAATTTGATTTAATATCGGATGAAGATACTGCATCTTCTGCTAATATTCCTGTTGAGTTTCCTTTTGATAATAAAGAGAACGAGTCAAATTGTATTAATACTTCAGCTTGTGAACCAACGTTTAATATAGAAGAGGCTGTTACCGATAGATCTAAAAAACAAAAATTAGAAATTCGTGGTAGATCTAAAAAACAATCCTGGGTTTGGCAGCATTTTGATTTGATCATATTAACTGATAAAGATGGTCAAGAAGCTCAATATGGTGAATGTCAAACTATGAATGATGATAATATACAATGTGCTCAAAGAATCAAAGTTGTAGGTGGATTAACTTCGAACCTTATTTATCATCTTTCTTCAAAACATGGAATTATGGTAATGTTTTACAAATTAATATTATTTATTATTATATTTTGATTATAGTTTTTTTGATTTATTTCTTTATTTTATTAGGATGGTCAAATTAATATTGCTAGAACTCATTCGAAAGCAAAGAACAATTTTCTTATTCGATCTTTATTAAAACTTCTCATTCATGAAAATTTGCCACTTAATTTGGTGTCAAAAGAATTATTTCATGAATTCGTTCATAATCTGGATTCTGCATTTGCAATACCATGTGAAAAAACTATGAAACGACTTATTCATATTACTTATAACAATTCAATGAATATATTAAAACAACAACTAGAAACAACTAGTAAAACAGTATGCTTGACATTAGATTTATGGATAGCACAAAATCGACAGGGTTTTTTAGGAATTACATGTTCGTGAATAGATGAAGGTTTTAAAATATATGAAGCACTTCTTACTTTAGTTTATTTAAAATATCCACATACGGCAATTAATATTTATAATGCTATCGATCATCAAATTAAATATTGGGGACTAACGAACAAGATTTTTACTATTACATCAGATAATGGAGCAAATGTAAAGGCAGCTATAAATAAAATAGATGGTGTTAGTAAAATGCCTTGTACTGCGCACACACTTCAGCTTGTAATTGGCAAAGCCTTTTATCGGCTAAAGTATTTGTAGCTCGTGCAAAACGATTAATAAATTTTTTTATAAGTCCCAAACAAAATGAGAGATTAGAGAATGCACAAAGAAGCTTACAAATTCCAGAAATAAATGTAATAATAAAGTTTTTTTTTTTTTTTTTTTTTATATACAAAATGGCATTTTAATTTTAATTATTTTTCAGAATATACAGATAATTTGTGATACTAAAGAATACCTTCGTTTGAAATGTGATGTTTTAACCCAGTGGAACTCATCATTTTTAGCATGGGAGCGACTTCTTTTAGTTAAAGATTATAGTGACATTGTTTTAATAACATTAAGCAAAGATAATTCACCGGATGCACGTCATGATTATATTCGACTCAAAAAAATTATGCTTACAGATAACGAATGGAATTTAATGAATGAGTTAACTAATTTGCTCGGTCTATTTAATGAATATACTGAATATTTTAACGGTAGTGAATATGTTACAATCAGCATGATGTATCCATTAATTACTGCACTTATGGTCAAGCTACGTCCTATTTCTCAAAACTCAGATTTAACATTGATTTTAATTCAGATGATAGTGCATTTGACGATGATTTTGAATACGAAGATGATGATGAAGAAACCATTATAGGACCAAAAAAACAATGAATAAAAATTAATACACCTACGAATACAAGTGGTTTATTGAATCGAATAAAATCTTCACTTTATAATGCCTTACTTCATTATTGGCCAACTTCTAATGAAAATGTATATATTGCATGTCAATTGGACCCAAGGTGTAAAAGATTACATTTCTTATCAACCATTGAGCAAAATAAAGCTGAAGAAGCCTTGCGTACTATGTATGCTGAATTTAAAGAACATTACTACTCATCCAAGCAAGTTATGTCTTCAGTTTCAAATTCAATTCCTGTGGCTAATAAAAATGAAATGCAAGTTTATCGTAAAGGATTTATCAAATCCATCTTTTCATCAAATTTTCAAAAGCAAGATAATGAAGTTACACATTATCTTGCCCTTCCTGACCTTGATTTCGAAGAAGATCCTATGGTGTGGTGGTCTTTACAAAAACAGCAATTTCTGATTTTAAGTGAAATGGCACGGAAATTTCTTGCAATTCCTGCAACCAGTACACCAAGTGAACGCTTATTTTCGGATGCGGGAAATATCATGAATGCAAAGAGAACATTATTGAATCCAAAATTATTTGGAAAAATAGTATTTTTAAAACGTAATATGAAGGCAATTGATTTTATTATTCCTGATAATTAGGAGTAATATATAGTTTTTATAACGATTAATATGAACAGATTATAATTCAGTTGTAATTCGTGTAAATTGATTATAATTCATATAAATTGCTTATAGCTCATGTAAATTGCTTATAATTCATGTAAATTGATTATAATTCATGTAAATTGCTTATAATTCATGTATAATTCATGTAAATTGCTTATAATTCATGTATAATTCATGTAAATTGCATATTAATAAATAATAATACTGGTACAATTGATAGATTTAATACATATTACATTATATGTTTTAATGCAATATGAGATATTTTAAAAAATTCGATGAATATTCAAATATTCGGTCAAAATTTTTCACCGATATTCGGAAATTGAAAATTGTAAACAACCGATATTCGATATTCATCGATTCCAATCTCTATTGTGTACAATAAATTTTTAACAAATTGTTAAATTTCTTATTTATATTTTTTAGGCTGAAGAATAATGATTATTTATCAAAGTATCGAATTACTTAAGATGAGCTATCTATTTTTATTTGATTTGCATTAAATATCCCTGTTTATTTACACATATCTCAATTTCATATAAGTTATTTAATTCAATTCTTCAAAGTTTTAATGATTTGTTAAAAATAGTGATTGTACATGTTCTAAAAAGTACAACCCGAGTTACCCATGGGTAACCCGGGTAGACCAATGGGTCTACCCGGTACAAAGACTACCCGTCAAACCCGGGTCAGAATAAAAAAATTAAATACCATATTACGTATCCAGGTCTCATATACGATCTTTCGTGTAGTAATTTAAAAAAATATATATAGATTAGCGAACTTTGCTGATTAATTTTAATTGTTTAAATGAATTATAAAGACAATCTTAAATCTCAGAAATTTTCTTCGATCGTCATTATAAAAATCACGTGGGCATATCTTTTTGTAAAGCGTTAAAAGTCAAATTTTTAATAAATATTTCTCTGCTTTCAAGTACGTACGTACGTATGTAATGACTGTGCTTGTTAAATGTACTACAATACACTATTGTTTCAGATCTTCAAATCCGTAGGAATGTCTATGATCTGATCTTTGGTCCAGTATATAAACCAAGATTCATTGTAATTCTACGTTTATTATTTACAGTACATACGATTTGTAAATTAAAACTCATGTAAAACATATAAAAGACTACAAGGCTTCATTTAACGTCCTAATCAAAATGACAGTAACTCATAAAAATATCAGCCAGGCTTTTTTTCATTAAAGTATTAAGATTATTCAAGTTTAGTAGATGTGGTTTTCTTACAGATAGTGGAAGTCATTCAACATATCCTGATCTTTGACATAGAGATTGTACTCGCTAAGAAATTTTCTACCCAGGTACTATTAAATTACCTGGTTATCCAGGTAATTTATTATGATCTTTACTTTGAAATGGTTTGAGAACTTGACTTATTGAAGATGTGCTGACACTTAAGTATTTAACGATTGTTTGAACTGATAACCTTTCTAATTTTTTTCGTTATTTTCCAGTAAATATGCTCGAGAGGATCATATTTAACCAGTGTCATATCGATATTGGTTATCTGATCATTATCAATTAAAATTGTCATTGCTGCATCGTACGTAAATAGAGGTAGTTTCAATTTAAAATTGATTAGTAATCAAATTAAAATGTACGTATGTACGTATCTGGCTTTCAACTATCTCCGTAAATAATA